GACCATACAACATATAGCTGGTCTTGTAAACTTTTCCTTTGACCTTTACCGACAGCCTTTTGTCACAAAGCTCTCCTGAAACTTTTTTCCATCCTGCCTGGACTCTCTTTGCTTTCACCTCTTTACCACACTTCCCATTTTCCTGCATGACAGTAGACCCCAAGGACAACCTCCCTGTATAATCTCATCAGTAACATTTGAAATTCGGTGTATTTTTAAATGCAACATTAGTACAGATCCTCAGATCTGCAGCATTTTTAACTGATCATTACATCTTTTACTCTTCTGAACAAATCACTTTTCACACATTCATCGTAGCATCTTTCAAGACTTCCAAGTGTGAAAATACTTCATGAATAAAAACTGCTGTTTGCTCAAAGTCGCCTTTAACTTCCGGTGTTTTTGTTTTTTTGCTCCCCATGCCCAGCTAGGGTGTGGTTGGAGACACGGAGATAGGTCTGTGTTGCGTGTGCTGAAAGTTTTTGATGGGGGAGGGGGACGAAAGGAATCAGCTTGATTCATGGCAGCTAATGTGTTAGAAGTGTTGCTCCACATTGCTGTGGCCACAGTCGCACCACAAATGACACATGCACACATTTGCCTTTCACACCTGTTAAAAAAAAAACCCTCTTCCTCCCAATCCCTGTGAAAATACTGTCTTCTTAAGTTTTTCTGCCACTTTCCTCTCTGCTCAGGGAGGTAAAATAGTCTGTAGCCGTGCCGCTCGCAGAGATCTCTGCATCATTCAGACCTTTCACTCCAGACAAGGTGGCTAAGCTGAATACGTAAAACATTTTATTCTCAAAGTTTTCATTCATTTTTTTTTCATTTCAAATCTACATCCTTGCAAATGTTATTACTTTAGCTTAAAAATACAGTTAATGATGTTTAGGTGGCGCTCCTTGATGACGAGTGCTATTTTTAGAACATGCTCAGCGGGCGACACAAGAGGTCCCTGCAGGCGACCAGTTGTTGGAGACGCCTGCACTCGACAATGGCATTTATTTGTAGATAATATTTGCGGTAATTAGTTTTCAAAAAGTGTTTCTTAGACCAATTAGGTGAAATTGAATAATTTCCCACGGCACACCTGACACACTCTCACGGCACACTAGTGTGTCGCAGCACAGTGGCTGAAAAACTCTGAACTAGACGTCAGCTCTCTGCTCCACACAGAGGGCTGTGGTAGCTCAGTGGTCTGTGGTTGCGTCAGGAACGACATCCGGCATAAAAACAATTGTCAAGTCTTCATGTGAGATATCCTGATGCATGCTCAATAATCATGTGAGATAGTTTGCTGCGGTGATCCCTGAAGAAGGGAGCAGCCGAAAGAAGAATACAATAGTCTCTTGTTTATTGTGGGGTTACATTCCGGACACGCCCACAGTAAGTGGAAAACCGCAAAGTAGGGACATTACTTTTATTTTAGTATTTAATATTTATATATATATATATATGTATATTTTTTTTTTTTTTTGGGGGGGAGTGGTGGCGCAGAGGTTAGAGAGGTGGGCCTGTGATCCGAAGATCGCCGGTTCACGCCCCGGCCCCGACAACATCAAAATTGTGGGTGGGGTAGGTGAAACACCCACACTTGTCCCCACCCTCATTCGCCCCACTCTGGGCCCATGAGCAAGGCCCTTAACCCCACCATGTGCTCCCTAAACAG